CATTCTGTTAACTTTATTCATTAACAAAGTATAATTCATGTGATTCTACCATGCCATTCGACTATATAATTAAAGTTTCTCTCAGATTATTTATTGCCACCTTAAATGCAATCAATGATACACTAGAGAATCTTTCCAATTCCGTAACATTTACTTACATTGTATGAATAAATTCTATTTATTTTATAATAAAAACACTTGACTACATGATTCAAATACTTATATAAGTAATTTTAGTAGTTGAGATCATGAGTCGATGAAAGCTAGACCATCATGGAAAACCTAGAATCACTGGATGGCCGTTTCGTTCCACTACAGGACTCCTCAGCAGTGCACATCCACAATCCCGCCTCGAGAGATTTCAACACAGGGACTATTTTTTTTCGCACGAACGCTTAACCTCTAGACCACTGAGCCAGCCGATCGGAATCCAACGGTCTTAATGTCTAACTTCAAACAATCCACCAAAATGAGCGACAAATCCACCATTGTCTCCAGTGAATTATTATCTCAGAACAGACCCGGTTGAACTCCACAGGTCCCTGCTTTTCATGAGAAATCCAGGAAATACCTCTTGAAGCTTCCAGATTTTCCATGGTTAACCTCTAGTCTTACTTCAAATAATCAAAGAAACTGAGCGACACATCTATATTGTAATCACAATCGGTTGATCACTGGGTGGTGATTAATATCATGTATGTCAAGTCCTTATTAGTGCAGATCGAATGCTATCGATCAAGTTGAAATGTGGCCACCAGTCTAGGTGACTCAACACTGCGTGCACATGTTGAGATTAGATGGTGGTTGGAGGTAGTCGACAGGAAACCCTGGACCCGGGTTTCGTGCTACTTGGCATTCGTCAGCAAGGTGTACCTGTAATCTTGCAACTTGATCGATAGCATTCGATCTGTACTAATAAGGACTTGACACACATGACATTGATCCCCACCAAGTGATCAATTAATTCTGATTACATCTCACTCCTACAGGAGGTCGGTCGCAGCCCGAATAGCTCAGTGGTAACATCTTTGACTGTGAAGCTGGGTGACACGGGGTCGAATCCGTCAGGGAGCACCAGTTCCCTCAATATTACAGGTACACCTTGCTGACGAGTGCTAAGTATCACCAAACCCGGGTCCAGGGTTTCCTGTCGACTACATCCAACCACCATCTGAAATCTACGTTGTCTTCAGTGAGTCACTATCTCACAACATACCCGGTCGTACCTATATACGTGCCAAATAATTCAAAAAAAGATAAACAGAAATTCATTCAAATATCGTTCGTTCAGCTATTTATTCATTGAAATATTCAATGTTAAATGTTTATTCAACAGAGTGAGACAAAAAAACATGCAAACAAACAAACTACAATCTGATTATCTAAACATTCGAGTAAACAACTTTGTTTTATTATTAAAATCTATAGAAATCAATACATTGGTATATAGTATTTTTATAACCCGAATAGACCTGTTCTATAATTAAATGGTCAAGCCTATAGGAAAATTCAATAAAACGTTAATAATTAATAGAAAATATCACGATATTTATCTCTCTACATTAGAACATTATCCCTAATTCTATATTAAAATATAACCAATTATTATGTGTTGTAATATTGACATTTAAAGTAGTGATAAGCAAAGAAAACAAAATATCAGAATCAATATTTGTTTTATTGATTGAATTGTGCCTGATTAATTCAAGTAACGTGTATAATAACTAACACACTCATCATTACCATTTTTTGGCGGCCTGCTTGAATATCTGAGCTACCTGTTTCTGACATCAACATATCTCAACAAGTTATCTATCTTTTGTTTGTTTTAACACATCATTATAACTCTTAAACGCATAATCTATTTAGGCGCCTTTATGAAAAGTTTATAATCTTTCACCGTACAAATTGCAAAAAATTACAATCAGAGACATTGCGTTAGATGTCAATATGCATTGAAACAAATGATCATTGTTCAGATTTCTATTCCTGAACTGTTAACATCATATAACTGGTGATAAATTAATATTTGTCGTTAGGACAGATGAAGAAATAAGGAAAGAAAACTTGTTGAAATGCTTTGTGCTGAGAATTCTACATTGTACCAAAAATATAATATTGAATAAAGTCATTATTAATAATAATAACATAGAAAAGAAACTAATATGAATTTTTCTAAAAAGCCTTCGATAACTGGAAGAATCTGTGCAAAAAGATAAGTTTTTGATTGAGATCATGAACCGATTGATGTTAGACCACTGTTGGAAACCTGGAAGCACTGGAAATTCGTTTCATTCTATTGTGGAACTGCTCAGCACTGCATATCCACGATCCCTCTTGCGGGATTCGAACCCAGGGCCTATCCGTCTCACGCGCGAATGCTTAACCTACTGGACCCCTGAACTGGCCGGCATCCAATGTTGTTAGTGTCTAACATCAACCAATTCACGAAGTCGCGCGACCATCTTCCATTGTACTGAGGTAGATACCTGTCTCTACCCGACACGGATTAGCTGCACTGGTCATGGCTTCCAGGTTCCCAACGGTGGTCTAACATCAATCGGTTCATGATCTCAATCAAAAACCTAATAATCTCCACAACCCCTATACTGGCAAAAAGATAAGATTGATGAAGAATTGAATAGAATCAAGTAAATACTAATAGAAATTAGTTTTCCTCCTATGTTCATTCCTAATAAACTGAAACCAAGATGACAGACGTTAGAAACTCTTACAGTAGCAAAAAAAAGATTCTATTTATGAAAATTGAACTCTAAAATGGTACAATTGCAGATATATTGAAAAACCGATTGTTAAATTTGTTGAAATAGAGACTCTATTCATTTGAATTACAGATTATATTCTTTAGTAGGTACCCGATCCAAGAAATACCGCTTTAGACTAGTTCAGTATGTGTTTGCCAGTTAGTATACTTGCTCTCGTGGAAAATGTTATATAAGCTATATAAAGTATACTCTTTCCAAATGCATATTCCAAGATTATCCAGTATGCTTGTGTAAAGGTCACTATAAATCAGTTAATAGTTCTATTATCAAGCATTGATGAAATCCAGTTAACTATCGCCCCCAGAATCTTCACCTAAAACTACTTACTAAGTCAGAAGAACCGGGTCAAAGGATAATCAGATAAGTATGGATTGATAGTAGGGCTTGATCTTTGTATTCAGAAATGATATGTCTGATCTGTTATTTTACCATGATTTTAACAGTCATTCATCTTGTAAGTTGTGTTAGACATAATCTCGATTACTTCTTTATCTTTCTTATATTCGCCAACTGGATGGTTATATTCAGCTCTCTTTTCATTTATGTTATTTCTATTATGCTTTGATTAATAGATAACTTTATTCGACAAATGAAATAGATTTTAACTTTTTGTATTATTTACTAATGGCTCATCGATTTTCTATTTTATTATAGACTACCATATGTAAAAAATAACCATAAATACAGCTGTATGGCTTTAGTAAATGACATTAAAGAAAAGAAAACTTTCTTCTCGGAAATGTCATTACTTTATCTAATTACGTGATAAGTTTCTTACATTGTATTGAAGTTCCATTGGGAGATATTATAATCTAATGATCAATTTAGGTCAACCAGGAGTGAAGTTGAGAGGGCGCTGATGACGCTTGACTATAATCACGTTTTACTATGAACCATTTGTAGTTGGAGAACGAAGAGAATCGTATTATAAATTCGGTGATAAAATATCCAAGTGTTTATTATGAGTTTTATGATTACCATGTCATAACGAATCACAAATGGTTACTACTAAGGTGACACAAAATAGAATGATGAGACTGTTAAATTTTTCCCTGTCTGAGAAGGTTCAGTGCATATAATCTCAGTCTGTAAAAACATTTTCAAAACATTTAGCTCCGCAGTATCCTGAATAATCCTTTCATGAAGGTAAAATACATACTTCAGAATGATAAAACATATCAATTAGAGGAGAATATTGGTACAGAGAAAGTCGTTAAGAATAACACTATAAACTAGCATTCAGTAATGGTTAGGTTGCAGTGTTTCAATTTGATACTGATAAAAAAGAATCAGTATAGCAATACTTAGAAATAAGAGACCTAAGCTACTATTGATTAACTCTGTTGGAGAAGAAACCAATCATCAATCTGTCATGATAACTAACGTTTATACGGTTATGTCATTTTCTAGCTTAAAAAGCTTACTAATTTCAATACAGTCAATAAATAGATTTTTACAGTAGAATAATTCAGTATAAATTCACCAAAATTTCTATTTTCAAAAATACGTACGCCCATCTGAGGATCTACAAATGAGATCTCACTGCTGACCGCAATCTATGTAGCGACCCGTTTTTTACTCAAATAAAACAAATCATTCTTTATACCCCTCAATTTAATATATTCAACCATGTCGCTCACATCACAAATGGATCTTAATTGAGCAACCATTGAAAAACAAGAAGCACTGAACATCTGTTGTTTCCTCATATGAGACTCCTCAGAAGTGCCCATCCACTACCCAAAAGAGGGTATAGAACCTAGGAACTCCACGCATTGTGGCGAACATTTAACCTTTGGATCACTAAGTCATCTACTCAATCATTTCCATTTCCAGTTTCAATCAATTAACGATAATGCAAAACCATCTCCCAACGTAATTAATGGGTGCGACAGATTTGATCTAAAATATATACTGTATCAGTACAATGCGTACCAAACAGTCTAATCACACACACACACACACTTGTCAGGGCTTTTATAAATGAAAATAAATGAAGGTTCATTAAATAAAAGATGTGACAAATATTAAATAATATGCAAAATATAGAATGTACATTAGTTTAGGTATTAAGAATTGCAACCATGTCAAAACCATTTTGAAGCCATGAATTATTCAGAACATTAAACAAAATATATACAATGAGAAAAAAGCAAGATTAGTCTGATCAAGTCAACAGAAACGTGTAATTTTCATTTAACCAAAAGTACCTACCTTGTTAATAAACCATTTTCTTTGACAAGTGTTACATTTGGCGAGTTACGTGTCACAATACCTGGTACCACTTCTGAAACTTCAAATATTGTACTATTAACGTTGCTATTATTGTTATTAGCCATTGTTGAAGTAATAGTGCCAGTGGTTGTTGCAATTGTACTGATTTTATTTAATGGTGATAAACCAGTCAGTATCATTGTTGATGGTTGATTTTGTTGACGTTTCTTTTGTTGTTCAAATATAGCTATGTTTATACATAAAAAAAGTTAAGATACATTATTTTTCTTAGCAAAAACATTGAATCAAAAAGTTCATTATTATTATTATTAATTTAAGAGAACAGTACACTAGTATTGTTGTTGAAACTTCGCTTTAATTCAGTGACAGAGTGATTTCAGTTAGGATAGGACTGAAGAATGGATATAGTTAGACGGTTGTTTCGATATGGCACGAGATCACTAAAAAGTTCGTATAAATGACCCCATCAGAGATGGAAACCAAGACCTGAAGATTTTACAACGAACGCTTGACTAATCGAAATACTGCTTGCTTACTTACTTACTTACTTACGCCTGTTACTCTCAATGGAGAATAGACCGCCGACCAGCACTCTACAACACACTCTGTCCTCGGCCTTCCTTTCTACTTCCATCCAATTCTTGTTCATTTTTCTCATGTCTATCTCAGTTTCCCGGCATAATGTGTTCTTTGTTCTTCCTCCTTTCCTTTGGTCTTGAGGATTCCATGTGAAGGCTTGTCTTGTGACGCAGTGGGTGCTTTCTTAAATGTGTGTCCTATCCACTTCCAGAGCTTCTTCCTCCACTGGGATCTGGTTTGTTCTCACACACAGTAAGTTGTTGCTAATAGTGTCTGGCCAACTGTTAATAAACACCTGTATCTTCTGGATGATTGCTTTCGTAGTTCTCCAGGTTTCGGCCTCATACATTAGAACTGTCTTGACATTTATATTGAAATCGAACTACTGAGTAAGCCTTAAATGGTACAACTATAACTTAAAGGAGCTTGGAATATAGTGCAATGATCCACTAACGCTATTATTGACAATTATTTCACTTCTGACATGGTAAAACTCCACTATCCACAACTTATTATTATAATTTCATGAATATCTTGAAGTGAGTCACATGTGAGGCGACTGTTATAATCTTTGTTAAAGGGGTTTTATGGTAGCTGGTTTAATTTCTAAGTTGTCTTAGTATCGTGTTTATCTCATTTAGGCGCTACTGAAAGCCAAGAAGCACCGAATAACTGTTTCTTTACAGTATGAAACTTCTTAATCAGATCGCTCCCAGTGAGATCAATCTGTATTAAATGCTACCCACAAATTAAACCAATTTCAACAAGTCCCATTCACATATGATATAATTTTAAGTGAAATCTATATCAATAGTCCTAGGAGAACACTGCAACAATTTAGAGAAAAATTAAAAGTTGGTTGAAAATGTTGTACCGTAGACGTTTTCTAACAAAACGATAAGTTCACTGCACAACAGTTTGCTCTTTACTACCTTATGTTTGAGAAATGTCGCCTTTAAAAACAGAAAATATTTATAGGTTACTAGTGTTTAACTATAGATGCTTTCAAAGTATTACTCCTATATATTGGGAAGATGAACTGAAAAATATTAGGTTAGGCGCAGGGTACTATGTAAGGATGCTAATTTGATTGATGAGGCAGTGAATATCTATCGACTGAAGTGTTTGGGATATGCATTATTTGTGCTCGACCACTATCTGCCCAGATATGCGATGACAGCTGATTTCAGGGTAGGTTGAAAGAAGATTATAGAATTTCAAACCAAAACGTGACATTATTTCATGAAGTCATTAACATTTGGACTAAGTCGTGTTGTAAGGAGCAAACCACCTTGTTGGGGTCTACGTGGTTTTCGTAAGCAATCGTAGGAGACGTATAGTAACACAGTTCAGAATCTGTCCTGGTGGCGTAGATGCATTTACTCATTGTTTTCTCTTCAATCTTCAGTTTCAAAACTATCTTTTACTATTTCTACCTGACAAATTTATTATTTTTATTCAAATTATACTGTCTATATCTAATGTTTTCTGCAACTATTGATAACGTTAATACTTCTACTAATCTGAGATTTGTTTTGATAATTTCTTGTCTCTGTATTAATGTTGCTTCGAAACCTGAATAGATACACACATACGACTGGATCTACATGACATATAACTAATAATATACTAAAGTGTAACAAGTCTTTCATTCTAAATTGTTTTCTTTTGAAAGCTACAATACTTATAGTCTCCTTATTCGGTATGATTATTCATTGTAAACGTGGTAAGGAAAATATAAATAGAGTGATTATGAATCCATAATTTTATACATATCAATGTAGGACAACCGCAATTGAATAGGAAAAACTATTAAAATGAGGATCAATAGATTGGTGGTTATGTGCCTGTAGGGATAAATATGAAGGTCTTAGAGTTTCGGCTTTATATGATCATCAAGACAATTGGTGATAAAAGGACCCTAGTATTAGAATTGTTCGAAAATTCAAAAGTTTCCCAGTCGCTTCAAACAGTTCTTGATGTAAACTGACATCAAGTTAATTATTTCCTTAGAAAATAAACTATAATCCTTTCAAAATATTAGATTGTCAAGCAAATTTCTATTTTGATACTCGTTTCAACTTCTGTACACAATTGGTTTATGGATTATTTCTCTATAGCAGAGAATCCAAACTATTATTGATACTTCATTCAATTCTAATTCTGATATTCTATTTCTGCAAACTTACTAATTTGCATAGGCTAGTGACTATCGAGGCTTAGTAATTCATTGAATAACGGTTTAGGCGTTTCGAACAAAAGATAAAGAGTTCTGAGTCTTGGTGTAAATATCAACACTGTAATTCAGATATATTCAAATAAGTTCCAAGGAACGAAACGTGAGTCCTGGATTGTAGTGCTTGCTAACTTACTTGAACACAACTGATTTGCTAATCTATTCTTTTTTATTATTCAATCTTGGAGAATTCCATATTTACTAGTCAAAATACTACTGTAGCTAAATTTCATCAAGTTTGTCGTCTCTTCAAAGAGCATTAGTTCTTCCATTAGTTAGAGATGTTAACCTAACTAATATTTATTGCTAAATTCAACTTAAGTGATTGAAAAGCGGAAATTGATATTTCAAATAAAATTTGCATACACAGTAAACAATCATGGCGTCTCGATGTTTATGACTATAATAACTAATACAGACCACCAACTTGTTAGTTAAATAAAACAAATTAATAGTCTTAGTTTTACTTAACTTATTTGGTTACTCTATCTACTTGGGTAAAACTTAATATTTGTCTTTCACAAAAGTTGTAGGTTAATCTATGTTAAACCAGCATTGAAAACCTGAAAGTAGTGGACGGTAGATTTATCCTACTATAAAACTACTCAGAAGTTACATCCACACAGCAATCGAACCCAAAACATCCGGTCTAGCACATGAACACTTAAACTCCAAGCCAGTGAGTCAGAATTCAGAAGTGTTTATGTCTAACCTCTATCAATCCAAAACATTGTGCGACCATCTTTCGTTGTCTTTGGTAGGTAACTGTATCACACTGATTCGGTTAAACTCCACTGGTCACGGCTTATCAGTAGAGCTGTGGAAAGTCCCTCTGGAATTTAGTCTCTAGTGATTGTGAACCTGTTTCAGTAGTGAATGCTACTGGGTTCTTGTTTGATAACAATATAATCAATACTTGTTGTTTTTAGTGAAGGTTTATATACATTGTGTTGAAGGATACAAAGCGAAAGGTCGAAATGGATGGACTTTTGAAGACTACTTATTTTACAGTAAATGATTACATCTATTTTTTATTTTATACTTATCAAATATTAGGTTGATGGTGTTGTTTGCTTGTCCTATTTGTAAAATTCTTTGTAAGTCATTAACTGATGATATGCCTCTCATTGTTCCTGAACTACAAATAACTAACTATTCACCTGTTACTCAGCTTTGTACTACATTTGACCTGGTGATGTACTGTGATTTCCTATTTATGATATGTTGTGATTCAATATATGATCTATATTATCATGTCAGATTTTAGGTTCTAATAACCCGACGTCTTCTCATTCCGATTAGGTAGGTAGAGGCAAAACGTAATTTGTTTCGGTCAATCAGCATCAATATACTCACTGAACACATGTGAAGAAGTTACAAGTGTTATTTGTCGTTTGAGAACCTATCATTAGTTGACTGTATGATCTAGTGATCTTGTTAAGTGGCCATATAAAAGTTGGTTTATTAATATATCGATAATAGGACATTACAAGTAGAGTTAATAAAAAACCAAAGAATATGGGACAACTGTTCCGTGTAAGTTTAAGAATTCTCAACAAGTTTGTGCCAATATAGCCATACAGTATCGTAACTGATAGATTTGAGTCTGATTGTCATTGACCTTTCAGACTACTAAACCGAAATCTAATGTTTCATAATGTCGAATTCAACCAAGTCGCCATATCCTATGATCCTCATATAATATCAATTAATGAGTTCTTAATAGATAACAATAATATTGCACGGTACCTTGCGAGTGTTAGTTAAATAAAGGTAACTGTATCTAGCTTATCGCAACTCATTGTCATAAAGGAGGTTTTCAGAACACAAGCTGTTATCTACTGAATATTGTAAATGATATACGAATTATCGACAAGTTTTAAGTCTTAGCTAAGCATAAGAAAAGCGTTTATATCCATTTATCGATCAATGAGGAATAAATACTTCATTAGTTTCAAGTAAGATGGATCTATAAATTAGTGATTAAATGAGTCTAATCCCATTGTACCGTTAATATTTTAAATAATAATAATGGTAATAATAATGACAGGTATTATGTATAAATTGTATTATATTACCTTGATGAACTTCAGGTGGACAAGTGCAAATTAATCCGGAACCTTGCACATGTTCAACACGTGTATGACGTGTTAATGTATTTGAATCAACATGAGTACCAGCAATTGAAGCATTAACAGGTACTCCAGTATTAACTACACCTATTTGTTGTATATTATGCTTAGTTGATGTCATTATATTACGTGGTAATGTATTATCATTTTGTATTTGTTGATGTTGTTGTTGTTGTTGTGATCCAGTATTGAGTTTACTTGGTGATGAGCTACCTGCTGAACATTGTTGATATTGTGAAGGATATTGAACAAGCATCAAACCAGCTGGTGTTTGAATAATTTGTGGTCTTGGTGAAACATTCGGATCGATTTGAATAGCTTGATGATTTAATTTAAGTTGGCGTAGTAAATCATTTGTTGGTAAAGCATAATATATTGTATACGGTTGTTGTGGTTGGTTAGTACCACTGCTATTATTAGTAGTAGTGGCAGTGATATTAGTTGAATCTTCATTTTGTATAATTGTTGATGAATTTAATTTTGATGAATTTAATGTTACATGATTACCAGAAACAGGTGTATAATGAATTCCACTAGTGGAAATACCACTTGTAACTGAACCAATGGCAACATTAATTGTTGAAGGGACTTGTGTTGAATGAACAATGGTTGTTGTTGGAGTAGCCGTCGTTGGGAGTGTCTGTGGTGATCCAATTGCATGAACTTTAACTGAAAATATTGTTTGAAAAAAATGAGAAGCATAAAGTGTTTAATGTCATGTAGACTTATGAATGATCAACCATTACTACCATGGAGAATAAACACTGAAAGTTTGGAATTTGTCAAATAGGATTGAAGTTATCAACTAAGTTTCAAAGAGGGATGAAGTTTCAAACTGCCATATTTGTGAACCTATATCGACTATGTTACGAAGTATGACACGTTCTACTACGTCTGCTATCGGGATAATCGATATTGTTTTGATCATGATCAGGTAATAATCACCTAACTAAAACATTAAGTCGATATTGATTCACACGAAAATGTTTGTTTCATTGTTATGTTGGTGATCAATGATGGTTATCATTACAACTACAGGGATTAATAAAATCTCACTTTAAAAGTCTACCACTGGAACTAAATTAGACAATGGTGAGGTCATCCTTTATTCAGCTGTCCATCAATATAAACTGCATCCTTCATGGAAGTATGACTCTTTCTAATAATTTATTTATCTGTTTCCACTTTGCGTTACTGTTCAGTATATGTGCTTCATTCACTGTTTTTGACTGATTGTATTTAGCATCAATATGGGAATCTGTGGAGATCGTAATATTTTAATATTCTAATTCACGGATCAATCTATGCTAGACAGTCATTGAAAATCTGGAAGCAGTAGACAGTTGTTTCATCCTAGTATGGGACTCCTCAGAGGTACGCGTCTAAATTCAATTGATTCACGATAGATGAAGGGTTGCACGAGATCATGAATCGATTGGAGCTAGACACTTACACCAATGGATGCAGGCTCGGAGGTCTAAAGGTTAAATTTCGATGCGCAAGACCAAAGGTCATAGGTTCGAGTCCCGCGTGCGGGATCACGAATGTGTACTTCCGAGGAGTCCCATATTAGGACGACACGGCCGTACAGTGCCTCCGGGTTTCCTGTGATTGCATTTAATCCATAATTTTTAATAATCATAATTCTAAAACAAATGAAATATTAAAGACCAAATTTTACTTGTTTTAATTATCTTTCCTACAACCATACTCTGTTAGACAGCATCACGGAATGTACTAGGAACAAACAACTCTAGTCCAAATAAATTACCCACAACTAGATTATTGTCATTATAACGTCAACTAGACCAGTTTTAACTTCACTTGAATATTGAACAGCCTGTCATAGAATAATTAGTTTTGTCTTGTTCCCGATTGTTCTTTTTAAGATAAACTGTATGCATTAGTTGGTGTTTATGTCACAGATATATATTCTCAAATGCAATATTCATTAGACGTGAAACTTGACAGAAATAACCTAAAGTGAAAAGTACTACTTAAGTAGTTCGAGTTAAAGTTTAATAATTTTAATGGAAAGACATGTGGAATAATTCTTATATAATCAAATACTTTATTCATAAGCCATTACATCAACCATATAAGTTCTTTTACTTCAAATCAGTAAACTTTAATTATACAAACTTGTTATTGTGAATCACATAAGTGTTCTGGGAGTAGAAATTTCTAACTCATTGTGATTAACAAAATACTCTAGAATAATAGTTAATCATTTCATTTTACAGTGCATGTTTAGCGATATGTCTTGTCGATTGAACGCTATTTGTTATATCTGGTCGTTGCTGATTGTTATATCGAAATCGATTATCACTTATACCAGTCTATGTGTTCTTATTTTCGCGTCGTGGGAATTGCAGTGGTTCCTCGCTTCACAAGTGTAAGTGAAGTTATTTACCCCCAAAACACAACGACGACGACGACGACCCTAGTCGAAAACACACTCATTTATATATTGATTCCTACACCCATTTTTGATTAATAATTAGGATGAAATCACATATATGATAAATACTCAGTTATAACAAGTTACATGCTGAGTATAGTTCATGTTAATTTAAAACAAGAATATCATTATATTATACAGAATAAAAGATCACACTGGGAAAACAAAATAAATACTACATTAAGTAATCAATACATTGGATCAAAACGGAAGTAATGCTGACCAAAAATCAATAATAAATAAATAAATAGATCTAATTTTGACTTTTCTTCCCATTATATCATTTAGTTACGTAACTACATGAATAGAATCATGATCTATTTTACTGTACACAAAGCATTAACATTTATAATTAAGAAGGGACAATATAAGCAATTAGTCCCTTTTATAAATTTCGATAGAACAATGAGAAGACGGAGTTGATCTGAAAAATATAATGTGTTTGCGCTATACATTTCGAACAATCTGGTCACATATATATTTGTCATGGCATTTTTATATGAAAATTAACAAAGTTCAGTTAAATAAAAGTTCAAGTAAAATAGTATAGCGGAGAGAAACAATTTTACATCGTATAGAAAGAATAAGAAATTGTCACGTTACCCTAGGCCATAGAATGACTTAAGGATTACCAAGGTAAAGTCAAGGTTACGACAAATTGTTTTTGTACACAAAAGGGGGGGGGTTTAAATTTACGAATAACCAAGGCTTCAATAAACTTGAGAATTCGTCCTTGACAATTTCTGTACATTTTAAAAGCCGTATTAATGTCAATTTTGTGCCCCGTTATAATTATTTATGTTTCGATATCGATGAACCTGGTTTTCTACCTCCCATGTTGATCGGATCATTGGACACACATTATTCGAAATGTATAGCGCAAATACATTACATTTTTCAGATCAACTCCGTCTTCTTATTGTTCTATCGAGACAATATAAGTGTTCATAAGATTCAAACTAGGAAACTCAGAAAATAATCATCAATAGTAATTTTGTTGACTCCATTTTACGAAAGATAACCACCTCATTAATTTTTACTTCTAAATAATTTATTGGATATTATTATGGTCTAAAGAATTGTTAGACAATCATTGTCATTCTTTCTATAATCTCGCCAAGATTCATTCAACACCGCCAAAGTGAATCAAACTTTAAATTTTCAAGTCATTAAATCAATTGATTCATTTTTATATGTAGGTTATATTTTAGATACTATGGAAAAACAAGAGCAATGGACAACAGGTTATTTTAGTAGTGTGTACCAACATTATTTATTATATTTATTTGAACACACAAATATTGGTACAAAAGGGCACCGTATACATATGCGTCACACAAGTCAATTGATTTGTGTGTGGGTTGTGGTACTGCCCGGATGCCTAGAACGAAGCAGGTGGTTTTTTTAGGGGGAAGACTGTGCCGTGCCGGGAGTCGAACACCGGGTCGCCTGACTGAGAGCCAGGAATCCTAATCGCTAGACTACGCCATGTGTACTAACAACCCCTTCAGAGATCGAACCTTGGATTTCAAAATTTCATGAAGAATAGCCAAATACTGGAAACATTAAATCAATGATGTATATATTTAACTGGAATTCCTAGCTTTGATTCCCGATGGGATTTTATTTGCCTAATCCTAGTGTCTCATACTATGACGAAACAGCTATCTAGTGCTTCTTGGTTTTCAATGATTGCCTTACTAAGATCAGTCCGTGGTGTAAACTATAATCTTCAGAAGTGTTTTTTTATCTAGGTGTTTTATATCCTGATTAGTTGGACCATGATAATTATAACATGCCTTCACTACTAGTAGTAATCATTCTCTCTTCCAAAATAAATAAATGCAATAAACAGAATGGGCTTTGTGGAGATTTTAGTAATTTCAATAGTTGAAATGATAAGTCAATTGAAGCTAGATCACCATGGAAAACCTAGAAGCACTGGATGGCCGTTTCGTCCTAGTATGGGATTCCTCAGCAGTGCACATCCACGATTCCGCCCCCCGCTGGATTCGAACCCAGGACCTACTAGTCTCGCGCGCGCACTGTTGAGGAGCCCCATACTGGGACGAAACGGCCGTCCAATGCTTCTAGGTTTTCCATGGTGGTCTAACTTTAATTGACTCATGATTTCAACTAGTGAAATTTCTAAAATCTCCACAAATCCCCCTTCTGCTAATTTCTAAAGTTTATTTTTATAAATTATGTAATCTTAAAGTACTTCTGAAAAAATGTCGATTAATTACTGATGTTCATTTACACTTTAGTTGTGAATGCTTCAGATATAATTTCATTATATGTTTTTTTTTATTATTTCAGTAATAGCTTCACGCAAAGATTAACATATACACCTTAGATTTTGCTTATATCCTTGGAAAACAAATGCGATTTACAATTCGCTTTAGGGATAGTTATATTATTAACTAATTTAATTTATTAACTACTTCCAATACACAAAACAAAATAGATTCTAATGGAAAATTCAATTATTGTGCATTTAATTGATAGAACTTATTTGAATTGTTTCACTACATTCTTTTACTCATTCATCGATTGTTACACAATAAAGAACTGAATGGTTTAGCAATAAAATGTATAAAAATTGTTATTAGGATATATCGATGGTTAACTTAGATATTCCGGAACAAAAAACCCATTAGTTTATTAGTTGATTATTTACAAAAAACGTAGCTCATTCACGCATTACTGATATTTGACATTAAAGTAAATATAATATTAACCAATGATTTCTGTCACCTTACATTTCATTTCACCTTATAAATTAACTATATTGTAGGATTAATGATTATCGGTATGTATTTCTATTGACAACTTTCATGCCTGATCATATGACTGAGGAATTAAGTTTAGTTTGTATGCATAATAGATTGACCTGATTTTAATGGATTCCTAAATTGGATTTATTGACGTTCCTTAAAAATGAAGGGGTATAAAGACAATGTCTATTTCTTTAATTAGTTACTTAGGTCTCTTGCTTAACAGAATTAGATGGTTATGCAAATATGACTTCATAACTGGACCAATAATGTCATAGAGTTTATGTGTTCAGTATCATAATTAGATCCAATGTATATAGATAATATTAAGCTTACCTCATACGAACATATTACATAATATTAATTAAGCTGAAGCAACTGGAGTTAAGACATTTCTACTACTCAACTGCATCACTTCATGATAAATTAAT